ACTCGCACTCTAATAAATGACTTGACGAGCATGACTTACACAGATCTACAAAAAGCGATAGCATACGTGTGCTTAAGCAAGTACGAACATACATAAAGGTTTCTTACATACGTTTGCGCATGTGTGGTTTTAGTTTGCATGTTGCTGGCGGCGATGTTGTTGTTGTTTTTTTTTTTTTCTTTTTTTTAAATTGCGTGTGATCTCGTTTACCGCCAAAGTAGAAGAAGTGATATGAAGACCAACAGTTAAGAAAAAAAAAGGGAAAACAAAAAAAAAAAATATTCTTAACTAGGATCGTAAGGAAACTACTTTAAATTAGTTAACCAAAGTTATCTGACTCTAATAATACTAAAAGAATAAGCAAAAGACAGCGATACGCTACAAGCAGGAAGAGAGGAAAGCATTTCAATGCGCCTAGATCACCGCAATAAATGGTAACCGTCATGCGAGCAAGGGCAACAATAATATGCACAAAATTTTTATGTCTGCCATTCACACGTTCAGTCACATCTTACAGGTGCGTGCTAGATCTGTAATCGGTTATCATAATGTTAATATTTAGTTTATAACATTTAACACTATATTAATGTGCGTATGTAAAGAGAATACATAAACAACATCTGCAGACATTTTGCGATCAGTAAATGCGCCGATATATAATGATCGCCTTATTCCGAACTTGCTTACGTTCAGCACTGACAGATTCATAATTACATTCGTCAATATGACAGAAACACACATTCGTCACACAATAAAGCAGCTGAAGGACGCTGGCGTGGATAGCTGTTCATAATACATTAAGAATACGAACAATTTCAACCATTTGTTACACATCGCTTGTAAACAATAAAACTGTTAATTATACAAACGACCACGACATGGTCTGGCCGATTGATGAGAAAATAGCGACAAGATCAAGAATATCGATACAATCGAGCTTTCTTATAAGGACTATGATAATCTCAAAAGCTAATAGACAACTACTTCTTGTGCTGATTTTGCCCTTACGCAACGGAAATAAGCGACAACCGTTATTGGGCAAAACAAACAAACAAACCCTTGAGGGGCGTGACCAATTTCTATTGTACAGATACACAGATATATATAAATAGCTTCATTACAAAATAATGAAGTGCCAATCTATAAATGGCTTTCTAGCTCGAAATTGTCATAAAATCAACCCTGGCTTTAGAAACTGGTTCAGCCAGCTGCATACGTTTCAATTTTGCTTAGTATGTACATTGCTTTTCGCTATTTATGACAATTTAATAAAATGCAATGCAACAACCCCGAAAAAGAGACGTCAACGATAAATCATAAGCATAAAGCTGTCAAATATTTATCGCGGTCCCAAGAAGAAACAGCAGAGGGAGGAGAGAGAAAGAAGCACAGCGAATATTCGGAAACAAAACATGTTTTTTCTCATTCATTATTCATTGTATGAATCCGCAAAAATCATTTAGCATGACTGATTGAAACAAGAATATGTTGAAATATGTCTGAGGTGAAGTTAATTATGATTGACAATTGAATACGGGATCAATGTATTATTATTCTTATTATTATTATAGTTTGAAAAGAATATGCATAATTATTGAAGATTGATTAAGATTCGCTTTGTAACGAGTCTTACGTACCGACTATCGATTAAATCATATTTTCTTAACTGGAGTTTAAAGTACGTCTTATAAATACGGGGCCATTCGAATTGACATTTGCTATAGTTAAGAAGTCATTAGTAAACGAGTTGCTCTTTTCGTTCAAGTGCAAGTGGAAATTATTCGCGTGTTCTAAGTGCACTCGATCACGAACGATCACGCCCATTTTCAAATTCGGTACGTTGGATTGAAATAAATTAATTCAATAACAAAAATAGGTATCCTATGTGGATGTGGTAAACATCGCAAGAAAATTTATATTCAACGCAAAACGCGAATCTATTGAAACTTCTATTACTGCGGACTGCAGACCCCTTCATAGCCTATTTATAAGTTGGCAACAAGTTTACATAAATTATATTAAAAATATTGTTAGGAGCTATCACTTTGACGCAAAGTTCCGTCACCATTTGCCGGCCAAGTTTTTACAACAGAGATCAAAAATATAAACCGTTCGCACGCCGGTCCATAAGTTTGCTACGACATATCAGTGTATTCGCTACATACGATACACAATGGCAAAGTAAGTCAGTCATAAACAAAAAACTTCCTCAAGCGACCGTGAACTGCTCGACAAAAGTTACTACTACCACAACAAAAACAATTGTTAAATCTCGGGAACCAACATATCGAGTTAAATTCAAATTTTAAATTCGCCAAAAGTGTTGTGCACTCCTTAGTAGTCATCTCTCTTGTTAATCATGCTTAAACTCAAATTGTACCGCTTCAAAAAGTCAACAAAATAGTTATAGAAACTGGTTACAAAACTAATAATAGAGACACATAAAGACAAAGGCGCACACAAGACTAGATATCCTATGTCATGTCTTTATTTATTTATTTTTTCCTTACTTCATTGCGTGGGAAGGTGTGCATAATTAGAGTAAAATTAAGATACATACAGTATGAAACGATAAATATGGAATGTGTGAGCCCATTCCATATATTTGATAAGTCTTTAAGAAACGTTAAAAGTTATCAGAACAGCCCGATTTCACCAAACTGTCAAAGGTTGGGCCGATCACTTTGCTTAAAAGAGACGTTACGACCAATAAATTTTACATTTACATGAAAAGCTAAATCAACCTTTGAACTTTCTCATAACGAAAAAAAAATTAAATCATTATACTTATTAGTTTAATGCCTAAAATAAAGACCAGGACATACTCTTGCGCACCAGTCAATCAATTCAGTCTTGGTTGCGGCATATGTCTCTCCCTTGTGTTTATTAATATTTGTTTACTTTCCTTTATATCTTTTCAAAGGAGCGACTATTTAGATTGAAGGAACGTGCTTTTCGTTTTTTGTTTTGTTTTTGACTTGCAAAAAAATATGTAGCGTGCATCAGATACAAAATTGGTATCGTCTAAAATTGTAATTCTTGTTCATACTCTACAAACTGATGCAAATGTCGTTATTAATAAGAAAATGAAAGAATGATAGTAATCGCATATAAGAAAAGTAAATATAATTATTGCACATAACTTAGATAAAATTGTCATTATATATAATGATATGGTATACGGTAACTAATTTGCGCTATATTCTTTGCCAAACCAATTATGTTGTCATATAAACAGCAGGGCATTTAAAATGCAAATTAAGACAACTAAAGTGCATTTGACAAATAATTACATAGGCAGAGAAGCAGAGGCAATTAGATCCTTTTAAAAAGCAAACAGATGAACAAAAACTAGCTAAAATCATACGAACAAGCACCAGACATTTCCTGCCATTGTTATCGGCCTGTCTTGATTAAGTTTGTGAAAAAGGAACAATTTTTTTGTCGAACTAACATAAGAAATCAACCAACGAACATGTATATGATACTTAATATCTATACTTAGGAAAACTCTTAATCGATATATATATCTATGTATATGTGCCTGCAATTGCTTGGATATAACCTCATGTATGTCCAAATCTACGTCATTACATAATTTTATTTAATGTTGTAACAAGCGCTAGAATACTCCGTGTGGCATAGGTATATATATATATATATGTCATGTTAGACAGTAAATTAAGTCGACATTTGCATGCTATGCATAAATTTCGACAAGTCTAAATGATACCTACTAAGGGATAAAAAGAAACCGACACAATTGTAAAAGAATATTGTAGTGATGCCAGAAGTGGAAGGAACGGGTGTAAAAGCGGTACAAAAAAAAAAAACTATTTGTGTACGCTTGGCTTTAAAAGATTATTTAAACAAATGTGATTTACTGCAATCAATTTAGGAGCACAACTGCATTCTTAGCACGCTAGATTTAGTCAGACATACTCAAAGACGCACACAGTGACGCTTGTGGGAGAGGAAGAAGTACTACGGCATGCAACGACAGACGACGAAGTTTGCTGATGTAACAACACCTATGAAATTAAACAGTTTTGCAAATTGCTGCAGTCAGCAAATACATCAAGACACAAATAGCCGCCAAAGCAACGACACAACTAGCACAACTAGACGTTGTTACCCACAGTGACAATTGAACCAACGCCAACAATGAATATAAATGACTAGCGCACATCAATGACAGAGATAACCTATATACTCTTTGCTTTCAGTTAGAGCGAGATAAAACAAATAACAAGTTGATGAACGTGAACGTGGAAATGGAAGAAACGGGGAAGATACGGCAAAGCAAAAATTATAGAAGCATGCAAGCGACGGCGGCACAATTACAACAATTAACGCATGCAACCAAGTAGAAAGTACAAAATGTAAACACCACCTCACTCATACCAAGGGTATCCATTAAATATTTGCAGAGCACGTATGTGGTGCATATCTATGGATTTGCGCGATTGTGTGTACGCTCAGTTATAAGAGCGAGCTCATCTTTTAAAAGTGGAAAATAGTAAAAAAGAGAGCACTGCATAGAGGTAAAGAAGGAGAACATGTCAACGTCAAATGGAAACAAATTAATGACACTTTGCTGACAGTCCCAACACACAATCCAATCCTTATTTGCAGATAGTTTTGCTTGATTTGTGATTGTTTTGCTTACTCCCTCTTTCGCAAGAAAAGGAAGAGATTCATTTTTCTGAAAAGAAGGAAGTCTTTTGATTGGCTGTTCGCACTAGTGTACTCACTCTATCCCGACGTTTGTATTGTTCAAAGTAAATAATCCGGTTTTCTCTACGTCTGCATGCTTCGAAAGAAAATTAAAAACAATAACAAAAATAAAAATCCAATAAGATATACAATTTTTTTTTTTTTTTTTTATGACTCTATGACGTCATCAGTAGTGGTGAACGATATATACAAACGCATTCACTCGCACCGTAAAACCCGTTTCTTGTATACCCATACACATGCCCGTAAAGTGGTCGGACCAACATACAACACATTGTTTTCTTAAATGTTCGACTACAGTTGTTCTCTCGCGAGTAGTACGGGCGCCACGAGCCATATATTTGCGTTTTGTTTGTGCTATGAATACATTTTGCCGACGCAATACCTTATTTTAGATAAAAACATATTGTTGCTGCTGTTGCAATTCGTTTACAAATATTGTTAACCGGTTAAAATAGGCCATTGAGGAGACTCGCCATATTGCGATAAGTGAAGCGATAATTTAAATAGTATTAACATATTTTTATTTATACATACGTATGCATGTACACGTGTATTCAAGTGTCTCATTGCACAAACATGAGTGATAATAAACGCGTTACGAAAAAAGAATGTGAACTAAACTTGAACTGAAACGCAAATTATTAATGCAAGCAAAAGCAAATCTAATGAATTCGATGCATTTGTGTTAACCGGTATTTGTTCGTTTACTCATTGGCGAAGAACATGATGCGTTCTAACAGTCCAGCTATATCGGAGATATCCGTAGGCTCGCCTAGCCCGCCGCCCCTTCCTTTGCCCAGTTTGCACCCTCTACATATGAAAAGACTACGTCCGAGTGGCAGCGCCGTAATAAATTCGCCAACTTCCGCTCATGGAAATTTTCCAGCACGTAGGAAGTCAACTATTGAGCGTGTAAAGAGTTTTTCTATAGCCGATATTCTTGGCAAAAAAGAAGAACATCCAGAAACTTCGTCTTCTAAATCGATCTCTAGATCCTTATCACCTGCACTGGTCTCGCGATCAGATATTCCACAAGCAACATTCTTACCTGTCCAGCTGATAGCGGAACGTCTGCAACCGCCGTCAGGATCGTCACCTTTAGCAATGCTAGATCTTCCAGGTGTAAATAAAGCGGTGCCAACACCTTGGGACCATACAATTTTGCCAAACAATCATCCGAATGCCCATTCACCTTTAGCTTTACATCCGTTCCTTTCTCCGGCATTGTTACACTACGAACAGCGATTAGCTTGGGATTATCAAAGGCAATTACAAGAACACTTCCAAGCGCAGGCACAACTCTTACGACAAATGAGCATGGATCCCAACATTATACCGTCTGAAGATGGCTCGGAAAGATCGCGTTCCAGTTCACCTGCCAGTCATTCCTGTTCGCCAGAGGTTAACGTTGCTGGCGATGAAAATGATGACGCGGACAGTGTTAATCACAAAGAGTCTTTTGATAAAAGTGAAAAGTGTGATAACACAGTGAAGGATAGTGACGCGAAGAAAAGGAACAAGAATTCAAATACACCAAATGACACGCCCTTAGATGCGTTATTTCAACTTTCGACCAAAAATTTCGATGAAGATCAAGGTAAGGTATTCTTAAGTTTGCGAATGAATGAGAATTTTGAAGACGTGTTCCCGGAACGTGTTCTCCGATAACGAAAGCAATAACACAATACCGTCCTTATGATAATTCTTAACGAACGCCGCACTGTTAGTTGTATCGAAGAGACATGATATGTATTTCCGAAAATTGAACTTAGACTGGAAGAACGCTTAATCAAGAATATTGTAAGCATTTTGGACAATTAGCGAAAGCTACATGAAAATCATATAGTTTTCTACTATAATGCGAGAATGGGTTTTAGTAAATATTTGGACTTATTGGACTTATTCGATTAGTCTTCCATCTAATGTTTCTTATAAATGTAAGGGAAAAATCAGCTACGAATAATTTTTAACCTTCAAGACTCCCCTCTATAGTTTACATAAAAATTACAAACAAGCCTTACGATCATTAAAATTCCTTTAAACCAATACAGAAGCATATTATACGGAGATTTTCTTGCTGTATTTAAATTCGCTTCCATATATTTTATGTATGCGCGAACAGGCAGAAATTGTGGAGAAATTAAATCTTGCTTTAGCAAAAACACAAACCTCAAAAGAGTCGAATGCTTTCACTTTGGCCGAATATAATTCATAAGAATAAGAAATTTTTTAAAATTAACTTTAATTTCGTAAATTGTGTGGCGCTAAAACACTGCCAAACAAATCAACAAGAGCCGCCCTAAGTGCATTGTAAATAAGTCTCCAAGGTATCGGTAAACGTAAAATGTAAAACAAGCAACATGCAACGACAGACATTGCCAAGCCGGCAAGCATCGCAATAAAATGACCATAATAACGAAATTTCAATCCCAGTAGCAACCATCAAATTATGAATTGGAATCTACTTTATGTTGCGATTGCATTACGTTAATAATTTCTTATGCGCATAAGCAACAAGAAACCGCGACAAGACCAGAAGTTAAGAAAGGCAACTTTAGTTCGTTTCGGTAACTTTGTATTTCTTTCTTGATTTATATGCAAAATAAAATAATTTTCTGGTATATGCTGCTCGGTCTGTCTGTCCTTGAATGATTATAAACCGATTTGCACACGTACGTGCTTTGCGCAAATCCAATTTGTCTGAAAGCAACGATATCTTTTTCCTTTCTTTCAGTTCTTTTTTTTTTTTTTTTCCTTCTTTTTTGCTTTGCATTTACACCACCCAACCAAACAGTAGCCAACTAACTAACATTAACGATCATAATCAATATATCTACTATTCAGGTAAATCTTAACAAGCCACACTCTGACGAAAATGCGCCAACAACTGCGCTGACCAGATAAACAGCTATAGTCATATATATATATACAACATAACACGGCCGACAACAAACCTCAAAGCACATTCAATCATATTTTTCGTTTCACATAATTTCCACGTTTACTGGCTAGCTAATGTTGTTATTGTATTATTGTGTTATTGTCTACAACCGTTACCGTTTTCTGTGATTAAATTCAATACACAAGCCTTATGTACATGTTTGATTGTATGCATGTTCATTTGGTACTAAAGCGTTCATGTCGCAATTGTAAGATTGATTGTTCGTTGCGAGAGCTTGTGTACTGATTAGGCTTGCACTGCGCTAATGATATGGAAATTTATTAAAATTCTCACCACGAACAACTGACCTCACTACTTCTGTTACGCTTTAACCAGAAACTCATCAGCAGACAGAGCTATACGTTGTGTACGTGCCGTATGACAATGGCTGCTTAGCGATCAGCCCCTCAAAATGATGATGATGATCAATTATTGAATACATACGATCAAATAATGAACGCATAATATATGATACACGCAAGAAATGATATGAAAAAGAAAAATTCATTTGCATCCATCCACTGAGAGATATCGTGCTTAAATTACTGGCAAAAGGTTAATTGGATACTGAAACAAGCTTTAATCAGTGAATATCAGTTAAAGTTTCATGATTGCTGCAAGTTCAGCAAAGCGATGACACTTAGCAAAGAGAAAACACAGCTGACGGAAAGGCAACAATTTCTACGGTGAAGACCGACTTGTAATTCCAAATAATTTCCATATGCTCGGCTGGCTACGTAGCTTATAATCGGGTTAATTTTTCTTTCACTTCATATTAATTGCAATTATAATTAGAGAAATTATAATTAGAAAACTATTTCTGTTATAAGATTTCAAAATATCTGATTATCGTGACACGCAACAATGCATTGCGTACGATACATTTCTGAAGGTGCAGCTGTCCTTACTGGCCCATCTAGGCATACGCAATCGCAGAGAGGAAACTTTTGTGTTTACGGAGGACAAAATTGAAAATGTTCGAAATTGAAAGGAGGAAATAATTAAAATTTTTGCACTGCAAAATTAGTTTGCGGAGAGATTTTGAAAAAATTAGAATTTTTTAGTAAATTTTATGCGATAAGCGTAGCGGCTACTACTCTCCATAGAGTAACGACTTCATTTCCAAACTTATTTTACTAGTTGCAAGTATGTCCATCCGTCCAGACTACGACGTTTAAATTTGCCGTTCTTTTCCCTTAAAAATTGATTTTCGTGTCTGCAAGGGTGTTTGTAGACTTGTCCTAGCTACAAGAACATAATGCGAGCGTGAACTTATACTTTTCTTTTCGACTTTTTGACACTGAGAGTGTTGACACATCGGAAAACGACGGGTAGACGGGTAGTTGAAGGCAACTTTCTAAATTAATAATCTGCGAATTAATTAATTGCATATATCTTATAAGAATTGAATAATCTTGATCTTCGTGTTCTAATTGGAATTGTTGTATGCTTTCATCCGCCACTCTGGTGGATATTGTCTTAAGTAGTCATTATTGAAATTTTTACCCACAAAATGCGTAGGGTGTGTGTGTATTTTTCAAGCCTTTGCTAAAATATCTGCGAACGCAAACTGACCGACAAAATAATTACAAAAATCAAATAATATTATGCAACAAACATGTGAAGCAAGTTACCTTTTGTATTATGTTCATAAAATGGTAAATTAAATTATCGCCGTTAATTATATATAAAATATGTAAAATATGTTACACTCAACTAGAGAGTAGGAAACGTTCATCTTTGACAACTGACAGCAATATTCTTGGGTTGAATCGATTTTATTTTCTAGTCTCCCATTCGTTCATCATCGCCTTTTGAATGGAATTTGCGATGTAAAACACAATTTTGTAAAAGTAATTATCAGCACTGTACTAACAACTACTCCGTACTACAAACACCCACGACTAAGAGATTTATATATATAGTTGTTTGAGGGTAAGAATACTTACTCCAAAGCTTTACTTCTTATAGCATACATAGCGTAATAACTTTCAGAAACCATATATAGCGTGTATTCAATGTTGAAATTGACCTAACTTACGTATTACGTTCCCATTTATTGATGATATGATTTTTGATCAAAGAATTTTGGCCGCCAATATTCTAATAAGAAGAAATTAAATATAAAAAGATCTCTAAAATTATTATACCATTAAACGTAATATGTATTACGGTTGATTAAAATTTAATAGTTGGCTAAATTTCCGTACAGAATCGCTCGACTTGCTGCATAAATATTTAGCAAAATTATAAACATATGTCTATGTGTGCATGAATAATACATGAGGAATACAATTAAAATTAACAATTTTATGGTTATTTAATTGTACTAAAATTTAATAATAAATGAAATATTTTTAGATCATAGACTTTGATCTCTCAATACTGCTGGTATATCATAACTCATAATTGCTTTCTAAAATTTTCAGTTTTTATTGTTCAAGTAAACTATTAATTATTTATATCGAATTCTAAAGAGAAATGACGCAAAATATCGGAAAAATTAATATTAGATTTTATTAGGTAACTTTTTCTGTTACGGCCTGAACGAATTGATCATGTAAAACACTGCTATCGACTCTAGCTACAGTTAGGAAGAAATCAATTCACTTTCTCCTTAGTGTCAATATTTGTTTGCATGTAACAGCCTTAAATAGCAAATATAAACCGGCCCAACATAAGCTAAGATGATTGCAATTTGCCTAATGTTACGTTATTTTGAAAATTTTCATTAAGTACTTAATGTGTGGGTATGCTATTGCTCAATGACTTCTCTCGAGATATTTTCAAAATGTCATTTCCAATATTTCCAAACTTTCATGCTTCGATCTGTCCATGTCAACGTACCAAATTTTATTAAAATGAGTAAAACTATATGTGGATAGCGACTAGACGGAGCGACAGATGGACAAGCTTTCCAAAAATCTGTACAATAACATGGGATTTATTCTCAGTCCTTGTGGGTGCACAACGTACACTCGCACATATAAAAATCGAGCCAATTTGGGCGTGACATACATTCGAACAAGCGTGATATACTCCGTCCCCTGCGTCGCATAAGCGATGTAGTGCATAATGAGAAAACACATATGTACACATATTAAGACATTCACATTAACTCTTATATCAATGATTACTATGTGTGAGTAAACTGCTCTTTAATATATAAAAGGTTGTCGCCCGAAAAAAGAGTGGGAACTTCTGGTTGCAATTAAATGCTTATACAAATTTCAATGCACTAACAACTAAAGCTCTCTTTATGAACATATGCTTTGTGTATAAAGATATGCGTTAAAGCCAATAAGCTCGTACATAAATAAGTCTCGTTGGGCTGCCTCATGAATTTTATTTAATGAAAACATGTAAGAAACATAAAAATTTGTTGTGTGAGATTTTGTTGTAGGCATAAATTTGCACAACTTAGACGAGTTGCGTTTTTCACAATTTTAATCATTTATTTAATTTATAGACAAGGAAACCTATCTAAAAATTAATTTTAATTATTTACACCCGTAGGCAAAAACGTATAAGAATTAATTATTATACACATATTGTTGCCAAAAACCCAGCACGAAGAAAACATCCAACAAACAGCCAAAGTCAAACAAGCACAAAGAAATCAAAAAGCCCAACAATGATTCAAAACGACAAGGAAA